CACTTCACTCCAGTCTGGGTAACGGAGACTCCAACTCAAAAAAAAAAAAAAAAAAAATCATTTATTTCCTTGCTTTTCTGTATATTTCCACCACCTAAGTTTTGTGCCCCTAAACACCGTAGTTTATTTTTGCCTGTTTATGAACTTATCTCAAATGGAATACTGCATGAATTTTATTGCTTGTTTCTTTTGTTCATGTGTCTGAGATTCATCCAAGTCCATGTGGAGTTTCTAGTCTGTGATGTTTCACATACATCCTGCTATACAAGTGCGAAAGAATCTCTAAAGCAGAGGTCCACAACCTTTTTGGCATCAGGGACAGATGGAAGACAATTTTTCCATGGACTGGTGTGTGTGGAGGTGGGTTGTTTCAGGACGATTCCAGCACAGTATAGTTATTGTGTACTTTTTTTCTATTATTATTGCATTGTAATAAATAAATAGTTATGCACCGTACCATAATGCAGTCAGTAGGAGCCCTGAGTGTTTTTTCCTCCAACTAGATGATCCCATCTGAGGGTGATGGGAGACAGTCACGCTGGAAGTATGTTGCTTATGTCTAGTCTACTCCGTAATCTCATTTTGGTTGCTGTCAACTGCAGAAAACCCTGCACAGGACGTTGGAAACGGAAGCAGGCCTTTCAGTGCTTTGGTGGCAATCTCAAGATGCTCCACCTTGACTTTAATCCAGAATGTATGAAAATTTGAAGTTGTCTCAAACATATCTGAAGGCCACTGTCATTTGCAATCTCAAGCAGTTGATCTTCTAGCATGTTGATTCACTTGACTTATTCACAAATGGATTGCGGATCCATTCCTTCCCAGGCTGGGGGTATTTTTGTGGTTGGGAAGTAATGCTTAAACTCTTACGTAAGCTGAGATAGGTGATGATGCACAAACCAGGATAAAGAAGGCCCTGGTTCAGTCTCTTTCAAAATCTCTGCTAATGTTTGAAACACCAAAAATCCCTATGTTCACGTGTCATCCCCATAATTCCAGTTTGGCTTTGAATGTAGCCACTTTATCTGCTGATTTGAACACAGTTGTCGTTCTCCCCTGAAGTGACAGACTGAGTTAGTATGTCAGACAAGCAAGCAACTTTTGCAACCCATTCTGTCACTGAAATATGCTGCCAGTGGTGACTGTTTTTCTAGAAGAAATCTCTGGAGCAGCTCTCAAAACTCAAAAACTCTGGCCATTGATCTACCTTTAGAAAGCCATCTCACTTCTGTGTATAAGGAAAGACATGCATGCTCAGCATCCATCTCTGAGCTACATGAACAAATGTGAGTTAAGGGCATATACTTCAATGCAGTTGATAATTTTAATGACAGCCAGGCACAGTGGCTCACGCCTGTAATCCCATTACTTTGGGAGGCCAAGGTGAGAGGACTGCAGATTGGGCAACTTGGCAAGACCTCTTCTCTACAATAAATTTTAAAAATGAGCCTTCTGTGGTGGCTCACAGCTGTGGTTCCAGCTACTTGGAAAGCTGAGGTGGAAGGATCACCTGAGTCCAGCAAGTCGAAGCTGCTGTGGCCATGAACATGCCACTGCACTCCAGCCTGGGCAATAGAGTGAGACCCTTACTCAAAATAAACCAAAAAAAGATAATTTTAATCACATCCTGCAAATTGTTGTTTAATTCAGGTGCCACTTCTCTATGGATGACAGAGTGTGTAGACTCACATTCACAAGTGACCTTTTACCAGAATAGTGAAACCAGAAAGCTGTTTAATTGTGGCAGCTGCTCCATCCATGCATATACTGACACAAAATGACCAACTCAGTTTTCCTGATATGTAGTCATTCAAAGACTTGAATTGTTCTGCAGCTGTGGTATTTTATTGGTTGGCAACAAAAGTGCACATAACCTATCCTCATGCACATCCTCCTGAAAATATATTGCACAAAAATAAGCATTTTTGCCTTGTTATCAACATCAGCAGACTCATCAACCTGGATTGTGTACCATGATTCATTAATCATCTCTAACAATTGTGCCTCAATATCCTCTATTACATCAATTCATCTATTATGGTGTTAGCCAAAAGAGAAACATGTGCCATCTTTTGAACTGTACAGCCTCTCCTAAAAGATGACAGATGTCTTGAGGAGCAGGCAGGATCAACCCTTCACCACTAATAAAGGGCCTCCTAGCTTTAGCAAGGCGGTTAGCCACTAAGAATGATGCTCTCAGTGCAGACACAGTTGATGAAGTGATGGCCTTTAATAATTGTTTCTGTTCTTTGTGTTCACATTTTTTCTTTTGAGAAACTTCAAAGGCTTGTCTTTTAATGCAGGGTGCTTGGTCTCCATATGGCAAAACAGTTTTGAAGACTTCATGGCTTTAGAGGACAGCCAGTGGCCACATATTATACAAAGTGGGCTTGGAGACTGTGATCACCTGTTGCAATGGACCTGTAATTTAAGTAGGACTCTTGGCATTTTCTTTTATTTTTATTTATTTATATTTAACTTAGAAAAATAAAGTTTATTTAGCCAGGCACGGTGGCTCACGCCTATAATCCCAGCGCTTTGGGAGGCCAAGGTGAGAGGATTACCTGAGCTCACGGGTTCAAGACGATCCTGGGCAACTTGGCGAGATCTCATCTCTACAATAAATCAAAAAATTAGCCGGGTGTGGTGGTGTGTGCCTGTAGATCCAGCTACTTGGAAGGCTGAAGCAAAGGATCACCTGAGCCCAGCAGGTCAAGGCTGCAGTGGCCGTGAGCATGACGCTGCACTCCAGCCTGGGCAACAGAGTGAGACTCTGACTCAAAAAAAAGAAAGAAAATATAGTTCACTTAAAAGTAAATTAGAAGGGCCAGGCTCGGTGGCTCAGCCTGTAATCCTGCGCTTTGGGAGGCCGAGGTGAGTGAATTGCCTGACCCCGCGGGTTCGAGACCCGCCTGGACAACTTGGCAAGACCTCATCTCTACAATAAATCAAAAAAAACTAGCCAGGCATGGTAGCGCGTGCCTGTAGTTCCAGCTACTTGGAAGGCTGAGGCAGAAGGATCGCCGGAGCTCAGCAAGTCGAGTCTGCGGTGGCCGGGAGCGGCCACTGCACTCCAGTCTGGGCGACAGAGTGAGACTTCAACTCAAAAAAAATAAATAAGTAAATAAAATAAATAAATAAAAGTTGTAAAAAACTTATGAAAAAAATTTTATTCTCTCACATGAAAAAAGTTTTCTAAATAGAAATGAAATCCAGAAACCATAAAAACGATTGATAAATTTGATGTTTAAAAAAACAAAACAAAACAAAACAGGGCAACTCCCTCAGGTCCCCTCCCACTGTGGGAGCTTTTCTGTCCTCTCAATAAATTCTG